ACCAGAGCTATCCCATACACGATGATACCATTACGCGATCTTGGAGCTCAGACTCATCATACGACCCGGATTACTTCACCCCTTGGATAAACGAAGTCCTAAGGCTGCGATACCCCTGTCACACGGAGAATCGAATGTATCCGCTGGAATTCCACTCCGCCACCACTAGCGACCCTCGGTGTTCTGATTTCCCTTCCCCCGACCATACCTACTACTTCACCCACCCGGGATTTGTCGTCACCACCACCAGTTTCCCTCCTTTTCGCCTCCTTCTCCCGTATCATCAACTCAGCGTCGTTCCATGGCTGGCCATAGCCCCCTATTGGCCTAGCACGCCTTGCGGGAATTGCCGACGTTGCGGCGAGCAGAGAACCCCGGAATTTCGAAGGCCCAACCCAAATACGCAGCGGCCTGCACCATGTGGCGGCCCCCGACGGCCCAACTTTTCGGGACCTCCTCCTCCGTGGAGGGACTTACCTGTAAATCGCCGCCCACATTCCCCGGCCCCATCGGGCCTTGAGTCCCACATGTCTGTGATGAACCACTTCCCAAACCCGTGCTATCTTTCGTACCCTTTTTGCTTGTATCATACCAACCCCATAAAAACCCCGTTTCGTTTTTTTGATTTTGGGTACCGTGTTTTTGGCCCCCATCTTTCGGAAGTTTTTTCGACTCCTGGGTTCTGCTTTCCCTTTCTACAATTTGGGAAATACATAGGAAATTATGTGCGCCTTAGCGAACGCATTGGGAATTGGGCTCGGCAGTTGGGAATTCCGGGATAAGGGAAACATCGACGTGTCTTATTCGTGTGTGTGAATGTTCTTGGTCGTGTCGGGGAAAACTCTTGGAATTTTGTGCGAATACGAATAGGCATAGAGTTTTTCTTTTCCCGCGTCGCTCTTTCGCGCGCGGATATGGTGATTTCAATTTTGAATTAGGTTGTAACTGTTTCGGTGCCTTTTTCTCTCTTTTTGTTGACGGCACCGCCATGCCAAGCTTTCTCCTCTCTGTCCCCCACATCGCTCCCTCCCGCGCTCCTTTCCCCTTCTTCCTCCTCTTTCTTTCGCCCCGTAATTGTTTTCCTTTTTTCTCTCTCTCTCCCGCCTTGCTCTCAACGCGCCCCTTTTCCTTTCTTGATCATCTGAATCTTGGACCCGTCTTGCGCCACTTCTCGTGCCTTTTTCTCCCCTCACCCTCTGAGTCTGGCGCACGACGCCCGGTCGATCCATCGATAACTCCCGCTCACCAATCAGGTGCGTGGATCAATAGGACCTTCCTATTGCGCGGCGAATCTGATTGGTTGAACCTTGAGTTTCGAGGAATCAACATGGCGTTCGTAAAGCATTCTTCTCAAAGTCTTCTCCTCCTGATTCTCCTCTTACACCTCAGCTTTCCCGTTGCGTTCTCCCCTTCTATCTCCCCTGTCGCAACTATAAAACCCGCAAGCGCGTCCTCAAATCTGTCTTACGTTCTCGAGTCTCAAGCCAGCTTCTGGGAAGCAGTGGCTAGGCAGAGTGTTTGATGCGAGTCGGAAAGTCCTGTATGGATGACGATAGGTTGGCCGGTTGCGCGCTGGATCGCCACGACGGACTGTGGGATCTGGGTGAACCGTGTCGAGTCTACGGCAGCAGGGTGACAATCGCAGTGGTTGGAGTTAGCACGAGGCGGCCGGGACCGTCGGTGCGGGTATGAGGATCGGTGATTGGAGTTGAGTGAGTTATTGGCCCGGGATCATATTGGAATTAACGGCGAATGCGCCTTTGTTGTTGCGGATCTTTCTCTCTCTAAACTTTCTTCTTTTGGGTTGCGTTATCTCCTATCCAGACTCTCTCTCTCTCTCCCCCCTCACCTCCCCTTTTCTCCTCTATCTTTGAATAATGATGTGTCTCGATGCTTCTCTCTCTCTCTCTCTCTCTCTTTCCCTCTTCTTGATGAGCATGAACCTGTATACTTTCCTTGCGTGAAAGAACTTCTTCCGGAACTCTTCCATTAGTTTCCTGGGTAATCCTCTTGCGCAAGGACCCCGTCTTCTTGTCTTGTGAATGGTGGATGCGTGTGTACTGTGCAAGCGATCTATCTTTTTTTGTGCATGGCTCATTTTTCGCATCTTCCACAGTGAATGAATGTAAGGAAATGCACGTCCCTTTGGCATTGATTAGACGATGGTCGTCGAGATTTTGTCCGAGAATGCAAGAGTGTTTAGATCTGTAGCTCCGAGTGCACTGCGCATGCCATCTGCCTTAGGCTGTCCGACATCAGCAGCCGAACCTCGAGACGGCCTCGAGAAACAAGGCGTTGGGGATCAACATTGTGTTGGCTCACTAAAACTGAGTCGCGGGTCGGCCCCTTAGCCATATGCATGATCAAGCTGATGCGTGTTCTCTCTCTCTCTCTCTCTCTCTCTCTCTCTCTCTCTCTCTCTCTCTCTCTCTCTCTCTCTCTCTCTCTCTCTCTCTCTCTCTCTCTTATGTCAAAAAGGATTGATTGGGAACTGCATAAGTGTTCTCTGTTCTTGATAACGTTGCGAGACATTTGCGGATGATTGATATGTGGACTGACAAGCACCCTTCGATCGGGCGTCAGCCTCCCGTATCTCCCATCTCAACACGACCTTTTCTCTACAGCGAGGAAAGGACACGTGTATGCGAGTGGGACGTACGGGAAGCCGTCGCACAAATCGGCGGGCGATATTACTTCCCTCCGGCCAACCGTTGTTCAGGGTTTGTAGAAGCTGTGTTTGTCATTGTCGATACGCATTTTCCACCCTACTCGATATTGTTGCCATTTAATGAGTTGATCGTCATTCCGTGGACGGCAGTGGCACCCCATTGGCCTCGAACCCTGTGTACAGAGTGCCAGCGTTTTGATCGCTACGAGGCGAAGGGCTTCCACTACCGAATACGAAGTGAGGACGAGCATAAGGAAAGAGCCACGCGTCTGCGACCCTCCACATCAGACTCAGAATTGACCAACGAACGACGACAGGACTTGATCCGAAAACGAGACACGCGAAGCGTGCCAAAACCCTTCCGCTCTAAACGACGGGCCGTAGCACGGTGGAAAACTCGGCAATACTTTTTGGATTGAATTTGGATTTTTCTCTTTTCGCGTCGTGCCCGCGCGCGCATCCCGCGACGCGCGAAGACAACCGACTTACTTCATCAGACCAACACGGGGGATCTCAGTTCCATCTGTGTCCCCACACTCAATTTCCAAAAATCCTTGGCACACCCTATCTTGCTGTTTTTCTGGGCCTCTTTCCGCATGCCTAACACTCCGAACGAAAGACAGCACAGGGGTTGAGGTTGGTATCGGAGCCGGCACGTGTCGGTTCTGATGATAGTAAGTCGAACTAGCGAGAGGTAGGAGAGGCCCTCAACTAGCTCGTCGGGATCGCCCTGTGACCCGGTCTCAGTCTGGTGCAGCTGCACCCGCAGCACCAATGGTGGAGGGTACTAGGGTGATCGTTAGTATCCCCGACCCCTTTCCTTTCTTCCCTAATCATGCCCATCCCGAGGCTTGGCTGGAAGCTGTAGAAGCTCAAAACTACAGCGCAGCCGATCTCCCTCGCGTTCTGACATTGCTACTCCGCAATACGTCGCATGAATGGTTTAGAAAACATGCGTGGGTAGATTGGGATACTTTCAAGCAAGCCTTCTTGGCTCGATTCGATACGGTTAGTGAAGATGCCGCTTGGTACGTACTCAAAAATCGGCCACAAGGACCAGGGGAATTGTTACCCGATTTCGTCGATCGATTTCAAACCACGCTGGACAAATCCGGGCGAGACGAGAAATCCGCTCAAGATTTGTTCATCGACCACCTACGAAGTCCTACATTGAAAGGCAAACTGCAGAAAAAGGTCCCGCCGAAAACACACCAGTTATCGGCTATCATCACTAAAGCATTGGAACTGGAACTGGCTGATACAAAAAAGTATATCAGCCAGGGAGACGAAGACATTACAGATACCATACGGGATGTAACGGCTAATAGGCGATCATGGCTGCAAGCCGTCGAACGGTTTTATCCCTGCCCAAACCACGACCTTCCCGGAGGGATCGTTTCTGATACCCCGCCTGCTTCTTCTTCCTCTCCCCCGGTGAATCAACCGATCGCAGTCGTTAAAAGCGGAATCTCACCCGAACCCTCCTCGCCGGCCATAACCAACTTACACCTTGCCCAGATGATCCATACGGCCACTACCAAGCAGTCCGAATGGATGAGCAACTTGATCCAAATGCAGGCCGCTCACATGGAACAGATAATGAGTAGGCTAATCAAGCCTAGCCCGACCTCTGCTCGGCCGGCCCCCACATCATTTCCACTCTTACCTGCCCCTCCTGCTCCACGATTCGCACCTCAGTTCCCTCATCTAGCTAATCCAGCAAGAAAGATTGAGTGCTTTAACTGCAAACAGCCCGGGCATTTCGCCTGGGACTGTCCGCAGCCGAAACATAATCAGCCTCCACCTGCTGCGGCCCCTGTCGCCCTTAATCAAGGACGAGTGGCCGCCCTGATGGATACGGACCAAGGAGGAGAATTTGTGGCATATGCCCCAAAGCAGCCTTCCCCTTCGATGGCAACGGCGTCGACCTCGGGAGCTTCTTCCTCTGACGCTGCTGACGTGGTCGACCCCCTCGAGTATCTTCATCTCGCAGGCATGATCGGAGCAATCCGATTGGCCCCAGATGATCTCGAATGGGTCGATCGTGAATCCAATCCTGGACCGCAGTTTCCAACACGAGACATTGATGTATTGAAAACGCTCAAGCAACTAGATATTCGCGTTCCTATCCCAGTAGGACATCTGCTCACCATATCTGAAGCGGCGAACGATAAGCTTTTACAACATTGTCAAAAAAATCAAAAGCGCTTTACCTATCAGCGCATACAACGGATGTTGAAGAAGAAGGAAGGAAGCGAGGAGGTTGCACCCCCCGAGTCTGACACGAGAGAACCTGAACCCGAAGCCGCACGTATAGCAGCGATCTCTTTAGCAGAAAAAGATCACTTCATACGAGCTCGGCCAGTATTGTGGAAAAGTGCGGAATATGACTGTGAAGTTTGGGGCAAGCCGTTTAATACCCTTATTGACACAGGGTCTTTTGCCGTGGCCATATCATTGGATACTGTCAAAATGACGGGACGACTTGGATCCATTCTTCCTCAATCTGGCAAAAACAATTATGTCTCTGCCGACGAGGAAGCAATGAACATCGTAGGCATTATCGAGAACGTGGCTGTAAAAGTCGGACGAGTACACGTTCTTGTTAACGCGCTCGTAATAGATGTACGTTCCTATTCTGCGTTGTTGGGATTACCTTGGACGATGGTGGTGGGCGCACGTCTGCATTTCGATTCGAAACAATTGGTGCTCACGCAAACTGGGGGAAAGCCTCAAACTGTTCCCTTGCGAGTTTCCACCCGAATGATAAAACGGGTCCCTAACTCGGCCCAAATTGGAATGATTCGGTGCATTGATCCCGAGGAGCGCTCTCCCTCGCACATCAGTGATGGAATCCGGGAACAGGAATACGAAGAAGAGTTGTCTAGCGAGGATGAATGGAAGCACCTGGTTGAACTTTTCGAACACGAAATTCCCGAGGAATTCCAAGTGTGCCCCGACCCTGCTCGAAGTTTCCACGTGGATTCAGAAGACAGCGCGCTTGCGCCTCCGATAACGCAAGTTAGTCCTTCGGTCCTGCTTGGGGAACCTATATTACAAGTATCTGACATGGCCGATAATTCGGAACCCCCTCGCACCTTGTACGAAGGAGCTCTCTCCTTACGAACGCGTTATCAGCAAACGGAACAATATTTGGATGTTTGTGTTTTCCCGCCCAGAAGATTACTAACGACAGGAGCCACCATCGCTTTGATTATACAAGAAGTGGAAGCACCGGTAAGTGATGTACCTGATCTGATGCAGGAAATGACGGATCTAACGGGGCTAACTGTGGAACCGACCTTAGTTGGTTCAGAGACTGATGCTGAAACTAAAGGAACGGAGATGATCATTCCCGCTGAGTCCCAAATGATAGCAACTGTCTTCTCTGTTCGCACCAGTAGTTCCATTTTTTCTAGTGTCCATGATCGACGGAAACGGCCGGTTGATTGGGTCGATATGCCCCTTAAGATTTCCGGGGAACCAATAATTTCACGTTCTCACGGAACTTCGAAAGTCGTTAATCTGTGTGTTAAACGGTTACGCAGAAGTATTGAGCCTACACAATAATGACATCAGTTTAACTAATGTAATCGAGCAGGCCATTCTCACGGGAGACCATCCACCCATTAGCTGCGTTCTTTACCGATATTCGCCAGCTCAAAGAGCGGCCGCTTTTCAGCGGATTAACGAATTCGAAGTTAATGGATGGATCGAACCCGCCATAGGTCCCTCGTCTTTTACCGTAGTAATCGTACCTAAAAAGACCGGAGGGATTCGCATTTGCATTGATTATCGGAAGTTGAATGATATCACGATCAAAGATGTGTACCCCCTCCCCCGGATTGATGAATTGTTGGATGCGATTAGGAGTGCTCGATTTTTCAACAAGTTTGATGTTCGCCATGGGTTCCATCATCTTCTTGTTCGAGAAGAAGATCATCCGAAAACAGCGTTTGTACTTTTCGAGGGCATGTGGCAGTGGATTCGATGTCCGATGGGTATCTGCAACGCCCCCGCGACCTTTCAGCGAGCCATGAACATGGCTTTTCAGAATTTTGTGAGAAAGACTCGTTTGGCACAGAGCATCATCAACTACTGTGTGATTGTGTACATGGATGATATCTTGGTGTATTCGAGTTCCTACGAGGGACACGTGCAACACATCAAATGGGCATTGCACGAGTTATGAGATGCGGGCTTCAAAGTGGCGCTTGAGAAGTGTCAGTTTTTCCTCACCACCATTTCCTTCTTAGGGCACGTGGTGACAGACAAGGGACTCCAACCGGAGCCACAGAAGGTGGCAGCTGTCAGGGACGCGCCGGTGCCTACAACTATCACGCAAGTTCGCGCCTTTCTGGGCCTGGCCTCGTACTACCAAAGATTTATCAAGCGCTTCACGGCGATAGTGGGACCAATCACGAATCTGTTGCGCAAAGATCAGCCGTTGATCTAGACGCCGGATTGCGATCAAGCGTTTTTCAAACTCAAGGCAGGTCTCATTTCGACTCCGGTCCTTATAAGATCGGATCCCGAAAAGCTTTTTGTGCTCATCACTGACTGGCAGCCAGAGGCAATTTCGGCGATCCTTGCCCAGGTGGTACCAAGCGGACTCAAGAGTGTGGTGGAGTATGCCTCCAAATTGGTGCCAGCTTGCAAGCGCAACTACGCCACTCCAACGGGGGAATGCTACGCGGCTCTCTGGGGAATCAGCCACTTTCGCACTTACCTGTTCGGGCGAAAGTTCACCTCGGTAACTGATCATGAGCCCTTGTTGGCTCTGAAGAAATCGAAGGATTACTCTGGCATGATCGGGTGATGGGCAACGGTGCTGCAGAGCATGGACTTTGACATTCGTCATCGGAAGCAAGAGAGACACGGGAATGCGGACGGACTGACACGACTGCACCGGCCTGAGAAGGTTCCGAAGAGTGAGGAGGTAATTCCGCGCAACGAACCCAGACAGGAGATCGGACCTCGGTACGGCCAAGTGGAGATCTTATCGAAGCAGTGAGTGACACGAGGACTAATTGGTTTGTTCTACCCTCTCTGCATCCCTTCCTTCTCTGTCAGCATGACTACCCCACTTGCCTCCGCAACCCCTGCATCTCCTACTAATTTTGCCCCTCTCACGTCCTCAGCTTTCTTTGCTACCCTCCCCGATAAATTCTGTTATTTTTGCACGTGCATTGCACGGGTCTATGGGGTCGACTGCCATCCTTTCGAAACTGGGTTTGTCGACTGGGTAGAATGTGCCACGTGTGTCAATGGTGCGCACGGGGCCTGCGTTCGATATCGGACGAATAGCAAGGAATGGAGATGCCCCCTGTGTAGAACGAACAAACTCCCCACGGAGGTTCGATTCGAGGCCGCCCGTACGGATGGCCCTGAATATGACGAAAAATACCAACGAGCGGAGGTTTGGACGGATAAAATTTTATTTGCAAAATTAGCGGGATTATCACTGGGCCACCTCACCAAACACGATAGACGTAGGGCGACCGAGAGATCTCAGGACTATCGATGGGTCAACGGTCATTTGAAAAAACGTAAAACTGATGGATCGGGCTCGTGGTTGACCGTTCCCCATCCATTCCAGAGATATGACTGGATACGATCTGCTCACGAAGAACAGGCCGTTCATTTCGCAATACGTGTCACTGAGGCAACTGTAGATCAGAACCGATGGTTTTGGTCCAATATACGAGATTATGTCAAATACATTGTCGCTAACTGTCTGGTCTGTGCCGCTGATCGCGCCCCTATACGGGGACCAAACACGATCATACCAACGAAAGTAGAGCGTCATTTCCAGAGAGTCAGTATGGACACGACAGATATCGACGTGCCACCTAACCCAAACCGCTGTGAATATTTTATCCTGCTAGTATTAATAGATCATTTTTCCAAGTACGTCGAAGTCTATCCCTGTAACACCCAAAAAGCCGCAGAAATAGCCACATACATCGAACGGTTCCTCTATACCCATCTAGATACAAAAGAAATTCTGACTGACAATGGGTCCGAATTCAAGGGTGAGGTAGAAGAACTGCTTGCGCGAAGAGGCGTCACGCTCCGACATACGGCACCCCACATGTCCCAGCCAAACGGGTTGGCCGAAAATGCCAATCGTATGAGTAAAACCGCCCTTCGCAGGAACTTAGCGGCGCATGACATGCGTCCTTGGTCCGAGATCGTATATTAGATCGTCGGGATCCACCGGGCCACCCCTCACGAGTCCACGGGGTTTACCCCTTTTCAGCTTCGAACTAATAGCCTCCCCTGTGTCGACTACCGGGGTAACTCGAAAATTGCTGAAGCAGGGGGTAGAGACACGCGTGCAGCTCTCAAGTCCAAGGCCAAAAGGTACACCGAATTAATGGAACGGGCCGTCCCGAAGCTAGCCCGAAAAAGGCAAAGGATGACCAAACTGGCCCACGGTAGATAGGTCCGTAGCTACGAGGCTCAGAATGGAAATGCTGGGCCCCAGCATCAATATAAATTAGGGGATCTAGTGCAGGTACGTAAATGTGCACGCGACCGAAAACTCGCTCCCAAGTTTTCTGACTGTTTTCACGTTGTCGAGCTCGAACCCAACGGCGCCAACACGGTGCGCATCGCGCCTGAGGCCAGTGCCAGCCATAGCTCTGTCCCCATCCTCCGGCATACCTCCTACCTCTGTCTTCTTCCTCCTTCTGATCTTCCTCCCTCTTCTTCCTCGGAAAGCGAGGACAACGATGACGATCTAACTCTCTCTCCTCTTTCTCCCTCTTGTCCTTCGTCCTCCTCTCCCACCTCGCCATGAGTTTTATCACGGAGCAGGTTCTTGACGCACAACTCTTACAGCCACGTGGCCACATCTCAGAGATTCGGCAAGTTTGTCACCCTCGGCTCAATGCGGATCTTCGACGTTTGATGCGATTCTTCTGCGACGAAGGTATCTGTGCCGCCGCCGCGTTTCGAATCGAAGGAAGTCCTCACGCAGTAGTATTCGCGGAGGTAACCGCAGTTCATCGGCGAGCGGACCCCAAAATGAGCCACGTCACCACGGTTGCGGCGTTCAGCGGCGACATCAGCTCGGTCAATCCACAGTGGCATACCGCGATCTTGACCTCGCTGCGCGAGTGGACGGAGCAGGTGTCCAACGTATGGCAGCACGTTCTCGCCCGCCAGGGGTATAACCTCATCCTGATCTTTACACCGGATCTTGACAATATTCGTCGATCACCTCGCGAGCGATAAGTTGCGATCCCAACCCTCGTCCGCTTCCCACATCCCCAATGAACCACGCCGATCTCCTCGCTCCTCTCTCCATCTTTGGTCTCCCCTCTGTCTTCCCCACCTTCTGGCAATCCGATCTTCATCCTTCTCTTTCCTTCTCGTTCGAGCTTCTTTCGGTCCCTCTTATCAATCCTGGACATTGGCGGCTGTGGCGCGAAACTTTTGAGGAGTTGTCTTTCTGCTTGGCCAGAGTACAGGTGAAGTGGACACGGACCAGCGGGCATCCTGCGTGGATCGAAAATTCGGAACTGCTAATCATCCAAGCCTGATGGACTAACACGGAGGGCGCTCTTCTTGGCTTTCTCTTTGGATCGGTACAGTCGGGGCGCCGCTAGCTGATTGCGCAGGAGCTCATCGCACCGATCGTGCAATTGGCGGACGACATCTATTCACAGAGTGACGACAGTCCTGCTCCGTACATTTTCGAGCGATCATTGGATCCGTACCTTCAGTGGACTGCGTGCTTAAAGGAACCTAGGGACGAGGACACGCTACAATCGCGGCAGGAGTATCTTAAGCCGTATGATATCATCCCTCGCGCCTTCTATTCGAGGGCAGAGAAAGTGGTGATCGACGACGACGACGAAGAGGATGAAGATATCGGGGGAGGGAAGCTATAGTGAACATAGCGAGGCCGAGCTGAGCGAAGGAGAAGAGGATGAAGAAGAAACAGGTTCTGAGTGGGAAGCCTTGCCGGAGGAAGCGACTCGTACAGGAACGGAGGCGGAAGATCCGGAAGCGGCGCGAAGAAATTGCCACCGGGAAGCGCCAGCTGGAGTTCGCCAGCGAAGCTAGCCTGTGCATCGGGAACGATCCGACCAAGGATCCAGAGACGCCGAAGCCCGAAGATGGCGACCCTGCAGCCGCCACCTCAAGTACTGCGCGACGGAGACGGAGCCGATCCCCCTCCTCCTCCAGCCCCACCCGTCCCCCAGTTCGCCCACGTACCGATGCGGGCGATAGGCCTTCGTCCTCGGACGCTGTCCCGCCGACCCCTTGATTTCCTCACCCTCGAGAAGATCCGTACCCCCGTCACCTTCCCTTCCCATCCCTTCCTTCCCCATCTCTTCCGCGACTTCTATTCTACCCGCCTACTCGCCACCGTCCACCCGCACGCCTCCCTTCAATCCGCTGCCCCCACGTTCTGCTGGCATCTCCTTCTGTTCAGCGCTGCATGGGAGCGATGCAACGTGGTAGAGGTTTACTGCGTTGCCACGGGGACAATCCCCGCCTGCCGCCACTATGAGTTCTTTCGAGCGACGCTTTTTCGCACCCTCTCCTCTTTCTACCGCGACTACCTTGCTTCCCTCCCTCGCAGCGGCGATCACTTCCCCCACTTCCACCGGATCATCCGATATGAGGAGCTTTCGGTGACGATGGAAGGAATGAATCGCTTCCTACCCCCACTTCCTCCCCGTCGACCCCGAGAAATCCCCTCCATGTACCGCCTCTATTGGCCCATTCCA